ACACTTTTCTATGCCCAGGTGCGACTCATGAATTTTCTCCAACATTTCTCCTCTCATTGATGAGGGAATCAAAGGTCGGTCCCCTTTGAATATGACACCATTTTGAATGGTTAGTTCATCTCTAACATTCCATAACTCTGGCAGTACTTCACTTGATACCTCTGAACGATTGTTCGGCCATCCTTTCAAGATAATTGATTTTACGACCCTAAGAACATTGTCATTCTCTGTCTCGCGGCTGATTTCTTGCATTTTGTTGTCAGACACCGCCAACACTAGATGAACCTCAAACTCCTCAAGGTCAAAGGCTTCCTCTGCAAGGTGAGCACGACTTAATGCATCTGCCACATGCAATAACTTTCCGGGTACATATTTAACATCCAGGTTATACTGCTGAAGTTTCAACAGCATGCGTTGAAGTCTTGTTGGCGCAAGATGAAGTGGCTTCTTCATGATAATCTCGAGTGGCTTATGATCTGATTGTACAGTAACAGTCTTGCCTAAGATATACTGATGATATTTCTTGGCTCCAAAGACAATGGCTAGCATCTCTTTTTCTATTTGCGCATAACGCTGTTGGGCCAGTGTAAGTGATTTTGACGCATATGCCACAGGTTGATTTCCCTGTAGTAAAACTGCTCCAAGGCCTGTTGACGACGCATCAACAGATAGTGTGACTGGCTTGTTGACATCATAATATCGGAGAACAGGTGTAGAAGACACCATGTCCTTTAGATGCCGGAAACATTTCTGGTGCTGTTCATTCCAATGCCATACTACATCTTTCTCGAGAAGCTCTCTAATCGGTGCGCTTTCTTGGGAAAGATTGGGCAGAAACTTTGCCACATACTGGACCATTCCCATGAACCTTTGTAGACCTTGTTTGTCCATTGGTTCTGGCATTTCAGTTATTGCTTTAATTTTGTCCGGATCGGGTTTAAGACCCTCAACACTGAGTGTATGTCCTATATACTGGATTTCAGTAACCGCGATTTGACACTTATGCTTATTCAGCCGTAAGTTGTGTTTTCGAGCTTGCTCAAGGACTTGACGTAGTCTCGTGTCATGCTGTTCGCGAGTCTCGCCCCAGATCAAAATATCATCGACTATAGTCTCGACACCTTCCATTCCTTCGTAGACTTCAGACATTGCGCGTTGGAATACTTCCGGTGCTGAAGAGATTCCGAATGGAAGCCGATTGAATTTATACCGTCCAAACGGTGTATTGAATGTACATAATCGACTACTTTCCTGGTCCAACTCGATTTGCCAAAATCCACACTCAGCATCCAGTTTTGAGAAATATTTTGCAGTTGACACTTTGGATGTGACATCATCGATTGTCTTCATTGGGTAGTGCTCTCTTTTTATAGCACGGTTTAGGTCTTTCGGATCAATGCAAATGCGTAATTTGCCATTAGTCTTTGTCACAATAACCATTGAGTTGACCCAATCTGTCGGTTCCTGTACTTTGTCAATCACGCCTAGTGATTCCATGCGGTCAAGCTCAGCCTTAACCTTGTCATGTAGAGCAACTGGCACACGCCTCGGCGGATGAATGACTGGTGTTACCGACTCATCAATTTTGATACGATATTTGTGAAGTTTTCCTAATCCCTGGAAGACATCTTTGAACTCCTCTAGGATTGGTTCCTTCTTCTCCACAAGCTCAATTCTTTGTATGAGATTTAACTCCTTGCATGCTTGTAGCCCTAACACTGGTGTGACTTGATGATCCACAACTTGAAATTCTAGTGGGTAAATTTTGTTCTGGTAACCACATGCTAAAGTGGTTTTCCCTACCGTTTTGATTTTCTGTCCGGTATATGTCACCAACTTTTTAGCTTTTCCCTTCTGGAGTTTTCCTCCTATCTGATTGAAATCAGACTTGGAAATCACATTACACTGTGCCCCAGTGTCCATTTTAAATCTTGTCTTCCTGTTTTCAGTCTCTATTTCAATAAACCAGTCCTTCTCGCTGGACTTCTCACCATTTACTGCCTCAACAAACAATGGGTATTCGTCATCTGAATCTTCTTGGATATGTACCATCTGTACTTGACCTCTTCCTCTGCCACGAAATTTGGCATGATTTGTACCACGATGTGAGCTTTTCTTACTCTGTCCTTTGTCAACTTTTGTCCTACACATTTTTGCAAAATGATTACTTTTAAAACATTTATTGCAAGTTTCACCTTCTGCAGGACATTTATTAACGGGGTGTTTATAACCACATTTATGACACGACGGGTTTTGTTGACTGTTCTGATTTTTCCTCTGTGTGGCACCTTGATATCCGGGATTTTTCTGTTTGACAACATGTACTTGCGTTTCATCATTTAATGATTTCAGTTGAATCTGAGAAACTTCACTTGCACGACAAATGTCTATTGCTTTCTTCAGACTCAAGTCAGAATCTCGAAGGAGTCTATCTTTGACCGTTTTGTTTCGAACCCCACACACTAATCGATCTCGGATTAAACTGTCACAAAGATCTCTAAACTCACAGGTTGAAGCCTTTTTACGGAGTTCAGTAACATACTGGTCAATAGTTTCCGTTTCGTTTTGATTTCGGATAAAGAAACAATGTCTCTCGTATGTTATGTTTTTTCGGGGATTACAATAATCTTTGAACTTAGCTGTTATGTTGTCTAGTTTCTTCCTATCGTCTTCATTGTCGAACTTGAAGGTGTTGTACACTTCCAATGCCTCCGGTCCGATCACGTGGAGAAAGGTGGCGATCTGTATCTTCTCATCTTTTTCTGAGATTCCAGTCGCTGTCAGGTACAACTCGAAGCGTTGTATCCACCTTCGATAATTTTCTGACATGTTTCCATCCATTTGTAATGGATCTGGTGCCTTTAAATTGTCCATCGTGCCCGTTTTCACTCTGACACCATGTAATATCACAACACTAAGATGGTCGTCTGTCTAACATGTGCTTTTTAATCAGAACGAGGTTGTGTGTACATAACTTGATGACGTAGTATATAATTGTATAGTAAGTACCGTAGATACTCTACTAAGGCAACTATTATTACACATGCAATATGATGATGATATACGATGTATATGTTTACCGAATAGGCCCAGTTTGGTTACCCTTTTTTTTTTTTTATAAATGACACCACGGAATGTAGGATTAAATTTGCTCTCTGAGTCCGTGGTGACACGCTTGTTTTGTAACCTGAGATACATGTAAAAGTGTAACAAACACTATCAGTATCCTACATGTATTAAAGTAACTAACCTGTATGTAGGCGTTGTCACTCGACCTGGACAAGGAGCGTTAATCTTTCCTGGTGGTGTTACTGGAGAACGCCGTTGTTGTTGTTTAGGTCTGGCGCAGTGGCGTGTGCCAAGGCCAAGGGCACTTTATATTTCCGACATATAAAGCCATAAACAGATAAAGTATAGTAGTATATACGTCTCCGATTCGAGGAAAGTCCATCTATTGGCGTTGCACGTTTTGCCTTGATTGTTTCCATAATTTGATTTGACAGAAGACACAGAGACCGCTACCAGGTAAGTGACATTAAAGTGTATTCATGTTGACATTTGCTTGGAACTGTGATTCCACGCGTAGAGGAGACCTTTTTTTAATATTTTGGCTAAAAATGTGTTATACGTTAGGAGAGACTGTATTCATCAAGCACCATTCAAAAACTATGATATAGGTGCCTATCGTCTAGTGATCAGTTTCCGCACGTTATGTATTTCCGTGCAGACATTTTATCAAGCTATACACAGTATACAGGATCTCGTAACTACGGATAGTTTAGACGTTTGGCCATCGTCTTTAAACTGACACCAAAATTACCGGAAGTTCGTCCGGAAAACATAAGAATTAATCACTGATTAAAAAACACGCATAAATATGCAGTTTTGCTTATATGCAGTTTTTATCTTCCTCAAAATGAACCAATACCTGAAAAAACGGTGATACATTTCATTCATGAACCAGTCTTTTTTTCCACTTCCGAAGAGCCAAGGGGACATATTCTTATATCGATAAACAGTGTTTTCAATGAAACGTAAACCTTGTAATGCCATGAACTTCCAATTTTCACCCATTTTAAACAGAACAAAATGAGAAATAACTCACCATCAACCAAAACCGGTAGTGCGGGCGGGCTGCAGATTTTTTTTATAAAAGATTCTATATTATAACCAGAGACGTATAAAGTGTTGTATCCGTCTCTGTTATAACTAAATAAATATAATAAATAAATTTATAAAATTACATAAATTCGATCAATTTAACATATTGAAAAAACAATAAAAAATGTGAAATATAAAAAAAAAATGTTTTGATAATTAATTTGATGATCAGCGATTTAAAAAAAAATTCAAACGAAGCTTTTGTTCTTGCAGGTTACTGTAGAGAATTTCTTTTTAGTGTATTCGAGTTATCTTTCTTTGAACACTACATCAAAATAGACACACAGAAACATATGACGGCTACTTCCGATGGGATAACTTTGTTAAAAATGGTTTGTTCTGATTTTTTAAGGTCACCTGAGACAAAGTCTCAAGTGACCTATTGCGATCGCCTTTTGTCCGGCGTCGTCCGTCGTGCGTCCGTAAACAATTTACATTTTTCGTCTTCTCTAAAACCCCTGAACCAATTTCAATGAAATTTTGCAGAAACCTTCCATGGCCAAAGGTCAACAAAAATAGTGGCCGGTTTGGTCCCCAGCACCCAGGGGCCTGAGGGGCGGAGCCAAACAGGGTCAAATTGACTAAAATTTTAAAAATCTCCTTCTCAAGACCCAGATATGCAGGTAGAATCAAATACTCTTCATAGATGGAAGTGTCTTAAGGTGCTTTACCAAAATTGTTAATTTCTTGACCCTAGGTTCTCATGTTTCCCCCTGGTAAGGGGTAAACTTTATTATAGTTTATATAGGGAAATCACATTTTGGACCAACATTTGTTTAATATCCATTGGAAGTAATTCAATTTAGGTTAGAATTATCAGTATTAGGTAGCAGTTTGATAGTATGCACACATGAGCCCTGACTGATCCCCAGGGGCTGATGGGTGGGGCCAAAAAGTGTTGAATTGACTGAAATTTCTAAAATCTTCTTCTCAAAGACCCAGATATGGTAGATCAAACACTCTTCATAGATGGAAGGGTCTTAAGGTGCTCTACCAAAATTGTGAATTTCATGATCCTGGGGTCTCACGTTTACCCCTGGGGAGGGGATAAACTTTACTATAGTTTATATAGGGAAATCACATTTTGTTCCAACATTTGTTTAATTTCCATTGGAAGTAATTCAATTTGGGTTAGCATTATCAGTATTGGAAAGCAGTTTGATGGTATGCACATATCAGCCCTGACTGACCCCCAGGGGCTAATGGGTGGGGCCAAAAGGGGTTGATGTTTA